ATGCAGGTGTTATGGCTTAATTAGCTGATTAGAGTGGGACACTTTGAGCCTAGAATATTGCACCTTTTCACAAAATTCTAATTTTCTGAGATTGTGGATTTGGGGTTTTCCTGAGCTGTAAGCCATAATCATCACAATTATGACAAATCCCGGCTTGAACTATCTTGCTTTGCATGTAATGAGTCTATCTCATATATTAGTTTCACCTATTAAGTTGCATTACTGAAATAAATGAACTTTTGCACAATATTCTAATTTTTCGAGTTTCACCTGTATAAGCTGCAGGAAATGAAAAATGGGTTGCCTTTGGCAATCACAAAGGTTGCGACTCCTATTATATCAGGGCAGGTTACAAATCAAAGAACAAGAGACAGTGAGGAGTGAGCAGTGTATGTGTTTGGGAATAAATATTCTGCATCAAAAGCAAGTGTTCACAAATCACCAGACTGACAACAAAGGATTAGATGTGAAGTAAAGAGAATTCTCAGTTAAAGTTGAGCAATGTCCCTTTACAAGCACTATAGTGTCTTCTGCACGCTTGTTGGGGTCCAGTTGGTATGAAGTTGAGTTGAGGTGTGGAATATAGTTCCTCAGGATGGCAACACAAGGATAATGAAGGAAAAGAGAGAGAGATTTAACACTTTTCCTCTTGGTGGTAGCAAACTAGTGCAGGTCAGGCTTGAAGTAATGAGTAGCAACAATTGACATAAATGTCTATGTATAAAGACAACTCCCTTTGAAAATCAAAGGCAAAATGAACAGTATTAGGAATCCTGCTTTGTTGAAAAAAGTAACTTGTTATCGCAGTTGGCACTGCTCTTTCCTGGTCTGCAACTGTATGTCCTGTGGTCAGCTTGTATGATAAACTGTAATGCAGATGTAGCCCAATGATGGCGGCTGGGAGAACTAGGCCTGTGTAACTATATGTAGTGTTCACAACTATGAGCAGGTAGATAGCTGAGGTGGCAAACTGCCAGTATTCACTTGGTTAGTGGGTTCATGGGTCTTTTTCCACCAATTGAATAGTCTGGCAGATCGTAGCAGTCTGTCTTTCCCTGCAGATGGGGTCAGTCCACGGACTATCCGGTTCAGATTCGGCGTTCGTCTGATCTCTTGCTATCAGATTGGCCTGCTAGCAGTGTGGCAGACCAGGTGGTCAATAAGCTCTTTTTGCTCTTCCTCTCTCTCCAACCCTGGCTCCGTGACCTAATTCAGCACTACAGTCGCCAGCACATCTCCTCCTTCAGTCTCTCCCCACACTCTCTTCGCCAATATCCCGGGCTTTGATATTTATATGACCCTGCCCACACGCTACCCTTCTTGGGAAATGTAGTCCTTGACCGCCCTGCTCCCCAGCTGAGTCCTGCTGTACAGCATACAAGTTCCAGAGGGCTATTCTGTCAGTGAGATACACCCTGAATGGCAGGCCACTGCTATCTAAAGCCTATTTCAATGCATTGCAAGTATTGCAACATTTCAATGGGGCACATAATCAAATTATTTGGATCTGGCATTATATGATATATAAAAAATATGTCTGACAGTTCTGTCTGGGAGAGGGAGCAGCAGAAGTGGTGTGAGCCAATAAGGATGTATTGTAAAGTGTTGTCAGTCTAACACTGGCAGGTAGCTAATTTTCTGGAGATCCAGATTGAAAGGAGGCCTCTGACTGGCTGCTATTGACTACACATAGAATTTCATTTCATTATGAGTAATTGTATGATGCCTATTGTTGCAATTTGTAGATCTCGTTTTGATCAGACAGGCAGAGACTGTTACCCAATGTTTTGGAAACACTGCACAGAATCACTATGTATTAGATGAGTTTCTCAATGCACATTGGAGTTGCTCTAAAATTACAGATCAGCAGTGACATCTCCTAGTATCACATATGATACAATATGACACAATATGACGTATTCTGTACAATCAAAAACTGTAGCAAAGTGTAACTAGTGTTAACTGACCTGGAATGCTTGAATCATGTCCAGTGGTTGGATAATAACTGATAGTAGATAATTTAATTGTTTCATCAGTGGGAGTGTATGTGGATTCCGGCACTGTTTGTGTTGTTTTCCTTGAAGTAGCTGCATGTTCAGAAGATCTGGGTTGTTTTGTTGTTGTCTTTACTGTTGATTTTCTTACAGTAGTTGATAAAATTATTGTAGATTGTGACCCTGGTAAAAATGAACACAAATTTGTTTTTTGCTACTGTGTCAGACTATGGAAATCCAGAACAGTAAACACAAAGTAATTCTTTCCTACCATAAATATAAAATTTGGCATTGCTGACCTCCTTCTGAAAATGCTATTGTCTTGGCTTTTATGCTTACCACTTGGCTTAAGTACTTTGTAACTCATGGTTTGGGAACAAGAAGGCACATGAGTAAATAGTGGGCATTTCATCCTCCGAGTTCATCTCAGCAGCTCAGCTCTCCCTGCTTCCCACAGCAGCTGCTATATGTTTATAATAGAACAGTTTTTTTCCAACCTTTTTACCCTAGAGAAAAATAATTTTCAGGTCTTGGTGTTCACTTATTAACCATTTTCTGACCACCCCATAGTAGATATACTGCTACAGGGCAGCCGCGCTGTGCAGAATAAGGTATATAAATGTAATCCTGCATTTCCTGGTCACAGGCGCACACATAAGTTGTCACAGCAGAAACCGATCAATGGATGAGAGCTGGCACCCGATGATCGTCTAGCACAGTGGTCTCCAAACTGCGGCCCGGGGGCCGGATGTGGCCCTTTGCTTGCTGTTATCCAGCCCTTGGGGCACTATTTCATCCACTGATACCAACAATGGGGCATAATACCACCACTGACACCAATGGAGGGGCACAATTCCTTCCTAGACACCAGCATTGGGCCATAATTTCTCTCACTGATATCATAAATGGGGCGCTATTCCTCCTACTAACACGAACAATGGAGTATTGTCTATTCCCACTGATGTCGGGACCTTTTCTACTTCCAATAGCCACAGTCTGGCCCCCCTAAAGTCAGAAGGACAGTAAATTGGCCCATTGTTTAGAAAGTTTGGAGACCCCTGGTCTAGGAGACTGACCAAACACAGCTCTGTAAACAAGGCAGAGCTGTGTCCTGTCAGCAGCAACATACTGGATTCTCTTTCCCTGCAGAGCAGGGAATAGAATCCAGCTGTCAGGAATGGACTGGCCAGCAATAGTGGGACTCACCTGCCTTGTGAGCTGCAGTACCAGGGCTGGCCAGCGGGTGCTCCCAGCAATCAGAGACTCAACCTTGCAGCCAGTCAAACACCTGGAACTAATTATACTGGTGTATTTAAGGGACATTCAGACCTGCAGACTCTGCCTTGGTGTTGTGTTTTTCCTGGGCCCTGTATCTTGTTCCTGCATCCTGCTCCTGTTCCTGTTCCTGTCTTGTTGCTGACCCGGCTTGATTCTGACCTCTGCTGACTTCTCCTGTTCTGATCCCTGGCTTGTGACCCCGACCATTCTCTGCCTGACCCCCTGTACCTACCTGCCTGTTAGTTGCTGTACCCTGCTCGTGACCTGACTATTCTCCGCTTGCTCCCCCTGTACCTACCTGCCCGATTGATATTGACCCGGCCGGCCTGCCTGGCGACGCTTGCACTGTATGTACTGTTATCTGTGGGTGGTTTGGTTTGGTTCGTTTGCACTGTGTTATGTTTTGGTGTGTTGCACTGCGTTTATGTTTGTATTGTTAGTGTTAATAAATTGTTTATAACTTATCTGAAGTCTGCGTTTCCCTGCGTCAGTCACACACCTCTGGTCACACCCGGGAGCCCTGACATTACACCAAGGCCAATCCTGACCAGAAGTGGCTGCACAGGGAAGCCATCTTGGTTTGTTGATGGGAAGGATGGATCTGGATGAGGTTGCGTATTTATATCTGCTAGTGTTTGATGACAGGGAGTATGCTTATCAAACTCTGAAGGAGTATACCCGGGATGAACTGCTAGAATGTATACGGCTCGCTCATGTTCTAGTAGATCAGGGCACAGAGTTCTCTGAGGTGCAGCCATTGATTGAGGTTTGTGCTGAGTTGGTTTCATCTGGTACCCCCGAATGCAGGGATGAATTTTTGCCACCATTTAGTGCAGACCAGGTAGAGTCCCTGGTATGGTTATTAGAGGATGATGTGGGTTACTTTCTGGAGCGTTATTCCACATGTTCACCACAGGTACTAAGAGATTGTATAAACGCAGTGCAGTCTTTGGTCAGACAGGCTTTGTGTAAGCTCAGCTTTGTTCAACCCATACTGCAGACATGGACAGATTTGTTACACCCAGCCTCAGTCAGCTTACAAAGACCCAGTCCTGCTTCTAATCTATCTCCTCAAAGCTCTACTCCTGTATTCCCAACAGCTCCTCCAGTTACAGCCCAGTATACTTGGCTATCTACCGCATGTCAGTACCCTGTTCCCACTCGCTGCACCTATCCTGCCTTTAACCCTGTAAAGAAGCCCTCTGTAGCGACTGTTCCTTCCCCTGTTCCATCCTCCAGCTCTTCTCTGTCTCCAGCTGCTCCATTCATTTGCAGACCTGCGTTTACTTGCAGTGCCCCAGTAGTTAAAACCAGAAAAAAGCGAAAATTCTTTCCAACCAGTACCATCCTGCCAGTATCCAAACCGGTGAGCCTACCGTCTGAGAACCTGCCTTCCGTGGTTCAGCCTGATGCCTCTACTCAGCCTGAAGCCTCTACTCAGCCTGAAGCCTCTACTCAGCCTGAAGCCTCCTCTCGGCCGGATGCCTCCTCTCGGCCTGATGCCTCCTCTCGGCCTGATGCCTCCACTCGGCCTGATGCCTCCACTCGGCCTGATGCCTCCACTCGGCCTGAAGCCTCTACTCGGCCTGAAGCCTCTACTCGGCCTGAAGCCTCTACTCAGCCTGAAGCCTCTACTCAGCCTGAAGCCTCTACTCAGCCGGATGCCTCTACTCAGCCGGATGCTTCTACCCAGCATAATGAACTGATCCAGCCTGATGATCCTATTAGGCCAGTTGACTCGATGCCCGCTGTTGATCCAGATAATCCGGTACCTGATCCGGTGCCCGCTGTCGTGCCAATTGACTCAGAGCCCGCTGTCGTACCTGGTGACTCGGTGCCCACTGCCTTGCCAGATGACGCGGTGCCCGCTGGCGAGCCAAATGACCTGATGCCTGGTGACCCAGTGCCCGCTGTCATACCTGGTGACCCGATGCCCGCTGTCGAGCCAGACGATCCAATGCCAGACGACTCGGTGCCCGCAGTCTTGCCAGACGACTCGGTGCCCGCAGTCTTGCCAGACGACTCGGTGCCCGCAGTCTTGCCAGACGACTCGGTGCCCTGCTGTTCCGCCAGTTGACTCGGTGCCCGCTGTCCTTGCCAGACGACTCGGTGCCCGCAGTCTTGCCAGACGACTCGGTGCCCGCAGTCTTGCCAGACGACTCGGTGCCCGCAGTCTTGCCAGACGACTCGGTGCCCGCAGTCTTGCCAGACGACTCGGTGCCCGCAGTTCCGCCAGTTGACTCGATGCCCGCTGTTGCCAGACGACTCGGTGCCCGCAGTCTTGCCAGACGACTCGGTGCCCGCAGTCTTGCCAGACGACTCGGTGCCCCCGCAGTCTTGCCAGACGACTCTGGGGGTCCGGCGCCCGCAGTCTTGCCAGACGACTCGGTGCCCGCAGTCTTGCCAGACGACTCGGTGCCCGCAGTTCCGCCAGTTGACTCGATGCCCGCTGTTCCGCCAGTTGACTCGGTGCCCGCAGTCTTGCCAGACGACTCGGTGCCCGCAGTCTTGCCAGACGACTCGGTGCCCCACTGTCGTGCCTGGTGACTCGGTGCCCGCCGCTCCGCCTGGGGGCCCGAGACCCGTCGCTCGCTCCGCCTGGGGGATGCCCGGCGCCCGTCTCCCCGCCCGCTCCGCCTCCGCCTGGGGGTCCGGCCCCCGCCGCTCCGCCTGGGGGCCTGAGACCTGTCGCTCCGCCTGGGGGGCCTGAAGACCTGTCGCTCCGCCTGGGGGCCTGAGACCTGTCGCTCCGCCTGGGGGCATGAGACCTGTCGCTCCGCCTGGGGGCCGGCGACCCGTCGCTCCGCCTGGGGGCCTGAGACCTGTCGCTCCGCCTGGGGGTCCGGCGCCCGCCGCTCCGCCTGGGGGCCCGAGACCTTTCGCGCCCGCCTGGGGGTCCGATGCCTGTCGCCCCGCCTGGGGGCCCGATGCCCCCTGTCGCCCGCCTGGGGGCCCGATGCCCGTCGCCCCTCCCGCCTGGGGGCCCGATGCCTGTCTCCCCGCCTGGGGGCCCGATGCCTGTCTCCCCGCCTGGGGGCCCGTTGCCCGATGCCTGTCCGATGCCCCCCCTGGGGGGGCCCGGCTCCGCCCGCCGCCCCGCCTGGGGGCCCGATGCCTGTCTCCCGCCTGGGGGCCCGATGCCTGTCGCCCCTCCTGGGGGCCCGATGCCTGCCGCTCCCTTGGGGGCCCGATGCCTGTCGCCCCTCCTGGGGGCCCGATGCCTGTCTCCCCCCCCTCCTGGGGGGCCCGGCTCCCTGCCGCTCCGCTTGGGGGCCCGATGCCTGTCGCCCCGCCTGGGGGCCCGATGCCTGTCGCCCCTCCTGGGGGCCCGTGCCCGCCGCTCCGCTTGGGGGCCCGATGCCTGTCGCCCGCCGGGGGGCCCGGTGCCTGTCGCCCCGCCTGGGGGCCCGATGCCTGTCGCCCCGCCTGGGGGCCCGGTGCCTGCTGCTTCACCTGGTAATCCGATGTGCCTCTGCCCGGAGTCCAGCCCGATGTGCCTCTGCCCGGAGTCCAGCCCGATGTGCCTCTGCCCGGAGTCCAGCCCGATGTGCCTCTGCCCGGAGTCCAGCCCGGTGTGCCTCTGCCCGGAGTCCAGCCCGGTGTGCCTCTGCCCGGAGTCCAGCCCCTCTGCCCGGTGTGCCTCTGCCCGGAGTCCAGCCCGGTGTGCCTCTGCCCGGTGAGTGCCCCTGCCCGGTGTGCCGCTGCCCGGAGTCCTGCCCGGTGTGCCAGTCTTTGATATCCCGCCAGTTACCAGAGACCCGGGCGGTGGAACATTTTGCCCAGCTAGGACTGTTTGGAGCGTCCTGAGGCCGCTCCTTGAGGGGGGGGGGGGGGGTACTGTCAGGAATGGACTGGCCAGCAATAGTGGGACTCACCTGCCTTGTGAGCTGCAGTACCAGGGCTGGCCAGCGGGTGCTCCCAGCAATCAGAGACTCAACCTTGCAGCCAGTCAAACACCTGGAACTAATTATACTGGTGTATTTAAGGGACATTCAGACCTGCAGACTCTGCCTTGGTGTTGTGTTTTTCCTGGGCCCTGTATCTTGTTCCTGCATCCTGCTCCTGTTCCTGTTCCTGTCTTGTTGCTGACCCGGCTTGATTCTGACCTCTGCTGACTTCTCCTGTTCTGATCCCTGGCTTGTGACCCCGACCATTCTCTGCCTGACCCCCTGTACCTACCTGCCTGTTAGTTGCTGTACCCTGCTCGTGACCTGACTATTCTCCGCTTGCTCCCCCTGTACCTACCTGCCCGATTGATATTGACCCGGCCTGCCTGGCGACGCTTGCACTGTATGTACTGTTATCTGTGGGTGGTTTGGTTTGGTTTGTTTGCACTGTGTTAAGTCTGCGTTTGCGTTTATGCGTATCAGTTAGTGTTAATAAATTGTTTATAACTTATCAGTCTGCGTTTCCCTGCGTCAGTGGTCACTGGTCACACCCGGGAGCCCTGACACCAGCACATTTACCTAGTAAATCCAGCACACACAGTACTAATTACACTTAGCTAGGCACACAGTTAACCCCTTGATCACCCCTTCCCAGCCAGTGTCATTAGTACTGTGTCGGTGCATATTGTTAGCACTGATCACTGTATTAGTGTCACTGGTTCCCACAAAATGTCAGTGTTCGATTGTCCACCGCAATATTACAGTCCCACTGCAAGTCGCTGATCGCCGCCATTACTAGTATAAAAAATAAAATAAAAATTCCAGTTTGTAGACGCTGTAACTTTTGTGCAAACCAATCAATATATGGTTACTGGGATAGATTTTGTTACCAAAAATATGCAGCGGAATACATATTGGCCTAAATCTATGAAGTAATTTGAATTTTTTTTATTTTTTTTATTGGAAATGTTTTAGAGCAGAAAGTAGAAAATATTAAGGGTTTTTTTTTTCAAAATTATTGGTCTTTTTTTGCTTATAGCACAAAAAATAAAAAACTCAGAGGTGATCAAACACCACCAAAATAAATCTCTATTTGTGGGGAAAAAAAGACAGAAAATTGAATTTATGTACAGCATTGCATGACCATGCAATTGTCAGTTAAAATAATGTAGTGCCTTATCACAAAAAAATTGCCTGGTCAGGAAGGGGGGTAAATTTTCCGGAGGTCAAGTGGTTGAAAACAATTAAGACACAGTAGAAGGATAATTGGTGTCATGTTGCTAGAATTACCAAGTGAAGTTGAATTGTGTAGGTACCATTAAATGGGAGGTTAGTCTGCCAAAGCTCAGGGAACCACTAGCAATCTCATGAGGAACTTTTGGGTTTCATAGAACCCTGATTAAGAATGGCTTGCTTAGATATTGGAAGGCTGCTATGTCACTGCTAGCAGAGGTGAGAGCGGGGCAAGGTAAGCTGCTGAGAGAACGATTAAAACAGCTGTGTTTCTGCTATGAAATTTAAGGATTAATTGTTCCACAGTGCCTGCAGCTATAAAGATCAGTGATGCTTTGTTTTAAAGCTCATTTACTATATGTAAAATATTGTATATACTTGTAATGTAAAATACTTGAAAGTCCATAGCATGTCCATCCCTCACAGTTGGGAGAAACATATTTCCTTATATTCAAATAAATAATCATTATCTTTCGGACCCAATACCATGGGTTGACGTGGACTCTAAAATGTGGCATGCGGTGTCAAACTTCCTCGGGCTGAAATGGGGGATAGCGTGGGTCTACAAGTACTTGCAGTACGAGAACGACTTCTCTAAATTATCCTGTGTGAAGGGCTGGGAGAGGGATCTCCAGAGCACTTTTACACAAGAGTAATGGCAAGCTGATATGACCAACATTATAGTCCTCACAAAATGTACTAACCACTGGGAAAACTCTCTTAAAATATTGCATCATAGTTACATCACTCCATATAAATTGTCAAAAATGTACCCTGATGCATCACCCCTATGGTGGTGACAATGTGATAGTGTGGGTAACCTATTACATGTTCTGTGGGCATGTAGTTCTATATAAAGTTTTTTGGCAGGCTGTTTTCGTCCTAATCTCCCAGGTGACTGGGGTACTGACGAGACCATCTCCTCACCTGGCATTACTAAATCTTTATTCAAATGTATTTCCAGTTCAACGTAGAACAATAGTAGCCCATATTCTATAGTAGCCCATATTCTAATTGCAGCTAGGTTGATCATTACTAATGCTTGGAAATCCACAAAAACATTCCACATATCTGAAGTTATCAATAGAGTACACCTCCACTATATCTATGAAGGATATCATGCTGTCTCGTCCCACAGTGTGAAGGCGTTTGAGGTTAGATGGTACTGCTGGAATAGCATATTCAAATTTTCAGACTTATAAGATCTGATTCATTTAAGAATGTGCAAACTGGTTATGATACTCTGTATCTTAGTCCTGTTAATATTCTTCCTTTCTTCTTCTTTTGTTCCTAAAGTATATTGTACCTTTGCTTATATTTTTATCATTGCCTATAACTAAGCAAGTAGAGTTCTTGTGATTGCTACGTTTGTCTTTTTCCTGCTCCAACTTTTATGCAGGTATGCTTCAATGTATACGCTTTTAAGTTAGTCCTACTTGCTAAGAAGGACATTTAATTTCAAAGGATTTGAATGCCATGCAATGCACTACAGAATTTGTAAATGTTTTTAGCATTTGAACCTGTTTTTCTCTTTTCAAAATGTAATAAAAATAATTGAAAGAAGAAATTCCATTGCATGGCCACAAGTTCACTAAAAAATTGTTTCCAAAGAAAAATGAGCAAGACTTAAATCAAATTGATGACAGTGTAAACTTAAAAAACTATTCTTTATTGACTAACCAGCAGATTGTGTTGTCGGTTCCTCTGTTATATGATGATAACTTGTAGTGGTTATTTTTGTTGTGGAAACATATCCATGAACTTGCGTTGATTGAGTAAATTTTGTCTTTGATGTTTGAAGTATCTGATGAAACTTCACAGTAGCTGTTGATAATGATGTTGTTGTAAACCTTTCCAGTTCTGTAAATGCTGATGTGATATCATGGCTTGAACTTGATCCTAGAGACAGTATTTAATTGTTTAGGTACATGTATTCATGTACAAGCAAAGAAGGTTGATAGGTGCCCTGTTCAAAAGGAAGGATTTATCAAGAAAGGCACAGACACACTCGGACAGCCATCCAATGTTAATATGTCTACTTCAATCAAGAATTAT